CAGTGTCAATTGCGGCATTAAATTAATATCTGCTCATGTTGCACCGTATTTCATTTTAGGCATTTTTACAGTGTTGCGCATTTGAACCAATCACACACAATTCTGTTGAGCTTAGGAATGCAATGGCCAATCAGAAGCGTTCAGATGAGTCATCGTTCAAACTCATCAGTTTTGTTGAGTGTGCGCGCGTTTGCTGACTGAATTCCGGACTCTTGCGAATTCTCTCATCATAAACAACAAAGCGCAGATGTACGTACAATGTAAGTAAGATTTCAGTGATTCAGCTTCAGTGATTATAACAATAGTTTTGTTTTTTTGAGAGTGCTTAAACTCGCGATAGATCAGTGTTAGTGATAATGTCACTTTCTAGGCTATATATAATTTATTTGCTGTTTGAATAACCGTGGAAAGGAAACGTTATATAATTATTAATTTCTAACGTTTTTATTAAATTGTAATCACGTTAAATACAAATTCAGTCCCATTAAACATTTTTTTTCGCCTACATGACACCCATGTCTGGTTCTTGCCTAAAAAGACGGGTTTATGATGTTTAATACATTTGGCTGCTTTTAGCCTTACCCTGGAGTTGGTTCACCCTCCGCCTATGCAGTAGAGTGAAAAGCTGAAAATTCAGCTTAAATTTTCCTACATTCACAGAGTTTATTCAGGCCACATCTGCAAAAATTTATTTTAACAGCTAAACAGAGGGCCAAGATTTCTGAGTCAAAATATGAAATAAAAACACCATATCAAACCAAAAACAATTTATAGAACTGTCAGCTGCCTGCAGGCCTTGCCTGAAATGTAATTACGGCATTAAAAAAGTTGCATTCTACAGAAAACGGGAGCATGTTTAGTTCGTGGAAAGCACATAAAATATAATGCCGAACACATTAATGGTAAGATCATTTATATGAGGCATTTCAGAGGCTGGAGTTGAACTATAAACTTGCACAAGGTCAGTAAATTGCGTGGTGGATTTGAACAGTTAAAGACTGTAATTATACGCCTGGCAAAGTTTTAAAACATAATGGACACAAATGCCATTTAAGGTTTGGCGTTTACACACATTGATCTGAGCCATTAATTAGTACTAATCCATAGTGATTCAGGGAACATGTAATGCATGTGAGTGTGTCTATTTATACACATTAGCCCAACGGCATTGGTGACGCTCACCACCAAGTCACATTCACAATGCCTGATGATGTGGAGTTAAAATACTTAGTGTGACAGCAGTTACACGTCCGTTTAAAAGTCTCCCATGCTCACCAAGGATACAGTAAAATTTTGAAATATTATTACAACTTAAAATAACTTAAAATATCTGTTTTCTATTTTAAAATGCAATTTATTCCTGTGATGCAAAGCTGAATTTTCAGCAGCCATTACTCCAGTCTTCAGTGTCACATGAAAAAATCATGATATCTTTCTAATACGCTGATTTGTTGCTCAAGAAACATTTCCTATTATAATTAATGTTGAAAACAGTTGTGCAGTTTAAGGGGATTGTTCACCCAAAAATGGAAATTACCCCATGTTTTATGGATAAAAAAAAATGGATATTTTTCTTACACAAACGCATCGATTCACTTCAGAAGGCTTTTATTAACCCCCCGGAGCCTTTTCATTTTTGGGTGAACTATCCCTTTAATATTTTTGTGGAAACCATGATACATTTTATTTTCAGGATTTTATGATAAATAGAAAGCTTGGATGCAATGATTTTACATTTAAATTTGAAAATTAAACATTAGCACCAAACATTCTAGCAACTACAATGCAACAACCTGGCAGCTACCTAGAATGCCCTAGAAATCACACAGCAACAAGCAAGCAAGCAACACTCACATTTTATTTAAAACGTTAAAAAAAAAGTTATTTGCAGAAATAATAGAAATAGCAGAAACGTCCAACTAAAAACATACTAATATGTTTTTATTTAAATAAACATACTACAACAACATTCTAATATGCTATAAATTATGTAAAGCACTACATAAATATGATTTTATTGAAAATAAAAAATCTATGTGCCAGACTGTGATTTTAAGATCCAAACGAATCTAAACATCAGTTATTTTACACCACTATGGGAATATTTCACAGAACAAGCAGGGAGGAATATCACACCCTATTTATCTCATCTGTTTATGGTGTATTTTCACCAAAAATGCCCATTAGACACTTCACAGCTGCATACTTGGACTCATTATAGAAACAAAAGCACTGAGTGGAACTACTGCTTCCCTCAAAACTTCATTAGAGCTTGGCCGAGGATGTGTTCAACCTTTAGTTACACAATGTTTTCCCCTCTGGCAACAGGATTGGATGACACAGTGAGTCCAGAGCATGCACTAAATATGGGATTAAATTACATCGCAGGACTGTGGCAAAACGAAGTGGCGTAATAAAGCCACAGATAAAGTTTGTAGCTTCCAAGGGCGATGGCTAATCTACATGAGCAAGCTGTGAGACTGATACGAGCCACTGCCTGTGTATAATGTGTGCGAATATCTGTTCCTTTGGAACATAAAATGGTAACAGCACAGTGCTTGACAAACACGGCATCTTCAGGCCTGCAGAGAACCAAGGTAAACGCGGGACGCGGGCTGATTCGTTCTGACACGCCAACCAGAGCATCACTTCCACTTAAGCAAGATGTGCTTTGGACTTGGCATGCAGATGAGCATCTCCAGGGAGCACGGAGAGCAGGAGAGACAGCTCTATCAGTGGAGATCACAACGTGGCAACACATGCACCCAGAATTAGCATCAAAGAGCTCGGCGGTCTGGGGAACATCCGTTGACACTTCTGCTCGCCCCATGCTAGCTCAGATGCACCGCTTAATCTTTAAAGCATTGTTCAAATAGGCGATTGCAAGAGGAAACTGTTTTAAATTATCACAAGAAGGGCAGTCATTGCACTTTCCGCTTTATTGTGCTTGTTTGGAGCGCGTGAGAGAGGGGAAGACGATAACAGGAAGCTGAGACAAGTTAATCCCTAGCAGTCGCTTCAATTCAGAAGCACGTTGGCTGTGTTGGAAAACATTGGTTTCAAACTTGATAGCAATCAAGCTATTATGCTCCGCAGGAGGGAACAACAGGCCGGCTGGGACACCCAGCAGCCGCCCCACTGAGACAACAGGACCACGTCCGCTTTTGCTCAGAAGTCCAAAGGGGTTCCCTGGGTTACTGTGCTTACATTCCTGTCTGTTTGTCATGATAAAGATGAAAAAGACCTGGAGGAGACAAAACAGATGCACAATAGTGCTCCTGCATCTGTTTTCCACTCTGAGAGAAACCTTTTCTCAATTACCGTTCGCAGTGGGAGCCCTCTGTCAGCCAGGGCTTATTGCCACCCTGTGCCATTCATCTTAAATTAAATGGCTTAATCAATGCCAAGACAGAGTGGAACAACATGGCAGTACAGTAAGTAATTACCCCTCTCCCATAGAGAACAACACAACACAAAACTCTGCCAGTGAACTCTGTGCAGAACCCCACACCTGTGCGGGCACTCATAAACACAATGGTACGTAGATTTGACTGCTCTGCCAGGGAGTAAACAATTCCACATTTTATTTGGAACATTATGCATGAAAATCTATTACAGATTACAAAAATTAAGGAAAATCATAAACCGCAGCTCAGTGTTTTTTATGCTCAAACAGCAACATTACAGACTAACTAAAGTTGAAAAAGTGAAAACGCATAATAGGACCCCTTTAAATATATAATAAATATGTAATACAAAAAAAAATGTAATACAAATTTTAATACATTTTAAAATGTAATTTGTAATTTAGTGACCATAAGAAACGTATTACTAATTTGTGTTCCATCTTTTGTGTAAATGCAGATAAGCAAATTAAATGATTTTCATTTTTGGGTGACTTATCCCTTTAAGTGGTTTTAGACTGAATCGTGAGTCTTTCTGATGATTCAGCAAAAACAATCAAACAACCAACAGGAAGTAGAATTGGAATAACATGAATTGTAATTCAACAAATCTTCAAACTTCAAGGCTTTTTAAATTGTTTTCAAAGCTTTCAAACAAGGCATTGTCAATCAAACTTTTAAGTTTTATGAATTCCTTTGAATTTGAATTGATCAATTAATTTGCTTGCATTCAAATTTGAATTGCATTCTATTTCGGAACTGACTTGGAATTTAAAACGCATTCTCAATGCAGTTTCAAATGGCACCCAACCCAGTTAAACATTTATTTTGCCATGTTTTTTTTTTTTTTTTCATTTGGCCATGGTTCATGATACAGGAATCAAGCACAGTTAATAAAACCAAACATTGTCAAAATATTTGAAACCATTCCATTTTTTTTATATAAAATGAAACGGTTCTTTCATACAAATGATTCTCGATTCCCAACCCTATATAAACACATAGGCTTTGCATATTCAACTAACAACATCAAAAATGTATTTTGAAGGCATACTTGGGTATCTGTGCTGAATTGCTGTGTGTATTATGGGCTCAATGACTTAGGGTGCAGTCAACACAGGTAAAGGAAGTGAATGAGACAGAGCACTGAAAAACAGCAAACATAGCAACTGATTTAATGAAACGATTCAAATGATCCGGCATGCGTGATGCGTCTTGTTGAAAATGGCTGAGAACTGTTCATTAAAAGCTGGCTGAGGGAACTGGCAGCATCACGTCTGCTAAAATTACCATACATTAGTGCACTTACCTTGTTTTGTATGATTAATGAAGAGCGTTGCCACTTGCACCCTAAACGGCTGTACTGGGGCTAGTTTTAATCAGCCATCAGCGTGCAGAGCGAAACACAGCACTATAACAGCCACTTTTACACAGGCAGAACTGGAATGGGCTAAGATTACTTCTCTTTCCATATTTAAGAGAAAAGGGTACACTGGAAGGAGATGCGGCACATGCACAAACCAAAGACAAACATTTACACATCCTCATATAAACACACACGAATAACCAGAGATAAGTTAGTTTTTTTATACTCACATCTGAATTAAAGCGGAGCTGACAGATGTTGCAAGAAATAACTTGCTTTTTCTTGGGAGGAATGGAGACTCCAAATGTGTGGTTGATTACTGCTTTCTGGACAGGGTCCATCTGGAAGACAAAGAGCAGAGGAACACTTGAGGAATCTCACCAGAAGCTAGGAGATGCTGGCGTGGGCCAGAGTTTGAATCATTTGGCTGATGTGAAAGGGGGTTTTCTGAAGTGAGTGTGCACTAAAACAAAAGTGTTCAGTTCGCAATTAGTATAAAGGTAATCTGTCTATTTTGTGGATGTGAACTGCTATGAATGTATTTAATATTTTGGATCTTTTCATGTGTTTTTTTTCTTTCTTTTTAAGAAATACTTTTATCCAGCAAAGATGACATAAACTAATCAAAAGTGTCAATAAATGCATTTATAGTGTTAAAAAAAACCCCAGCTTTGCCATACAGGAATAAATTCAATTTTAAAATATATTAAAACAGAAAACAGTTCTTTTAAATTCTAATAATATTTCACAATATTAATGTTTTACTGTATTTTTGATCAAATAAAACTAGTCTTGTTGAGCTTCCTTTAAAAACATTAAAAATCTTACTGACCCCAAACTTTTGAATTTAAAGTGGAAATGTAAGGGCTGTTTGACTTTCTGATTCCAATTCCAATTTTTTTTAAACCAGTGGAGATGATCTTCTTTACTGTATTAATGATCAAATAAATGCAGCCCTGGTATGCTTAAAATGTATTGTATATGCTTCAGGTTAGTTCTAAAAAGCCTGTTTCAGCACAATTAATTTCATATTTCATATAACTGTACCCCTATGCACCATTTAGGGCTAAATAAGGTGCAGAGGTATACTTTTTTGAAAAGGTACCACTGCAGCAACAGCTTTTGTCCCTTTTTTCCTGTATTACTAATACAAGATTACTGAGGAATACAGGATCAACTGACAGCATAAACCAAGCATCCAAACAAACAAACACAAAAAATGTGCAACAGAGACTTGTATCATAAAATTTGGAGAAAATATTCCACCTTGCAAACTTAAGATTCGGATTTGGAGTCCAAGTCAACTGACTATTAGTCAGAGTCGAGTAACAATGATTTTATGAACTTGATTTGAGTTTCCATCTCTGCTCAACAGCTGCTTCTATTGCAATACATTGGCAGGATGCAAGCGCCTGTGTTTTGTGCACATAAAGGTTTGGTGGTAAATTCAAAGTGACAAAAACATGAATAAAACAGTAAAGCTGGCATCTTCTTGTCCCGACTCATTGCCTAGTTGCGTTGGTACACAGCTGCTGCTAGCACTCACAATGCAGTCACATTGATGAACACACCAAAAAGTATCATTTGTAAAGAGACCGAGAAAATGAACAAAGTATGAAATCAGCATTCGAAAAGAGAGTTAGTGAGATGTGTATCAGACACACGCTGAGTGTCCTCCGCATTAGTCAGTATCCACGACCCTGAACGCTAGGTGGAAATGAGAGCAATAAGGATCGCAAGCTGCAGGCAAGACAGCTGGGTAATGGTGAGAATCAATGGCAGCCTTGCTGGTCTCCTGGGCTCTACCGGATAGAAATAGATACTCTGTTTACCGAACCAAGGAGGATGAAGAAAGGAAAGCAAATGTGATCTCTGCCACCTCAGCACAGGAGAGCATCCAAACACCTCTGTGGACTTGATCACTTGCAGCTTCTGAAGTTTTGCCAGCTAGCTATCCTTCATTCAAACAAATAAAATGAAATTCAAGCAAAGAAAAGCCTTTTATAAACCTTTACAAATATGCCCTCATTTTCTTCAATTAAATCCTGAATGCTTGTAATGTGACAGTGGAATGACAACAAATACACTTTACTACTGCAATCCAGGAATAGCTCAGCGTAGGTTCGGTTTTAACATTCACAGGCATGTTTTAAAATCAAACGAATATTTTCATCTAAACAGTGAAAGAGTGTTCAAGTTCAGAACAGTCGTTCTTTTTTTTTATATAAATAAGTATTTGTCTTCTGCCTTTTGAAAATTTTATAAAAACATTCAAACAAAATACTTATTTTTGATGATTTGAAAAAATAATTGCTTTTTATACGTTTAAAAGCAATTATATGATATGTAAAAGTAAACATCTGGTTTGTGCCAGAGTGAATGTGTCAACCAAAAACAAGGCTTAAAGTGACAGTTCACCCCCCTCATATTTGTGTGCTATTTTCCATCCAGCAAAGTTCTAAAATCTCACTTGATAACATTTCAATAAAAAAAGTGGAAATGTGTGATGTCATTGACGTGCCTTATATGTCACAAGCCAAGCTGTCAGGAAGATTTTTAAATATTTTTAAAAAAAATCTCTTATGCTCAAGGCTGCATTTATTTGATCAAAAATACAGTAAAACAGTGATATTGTAAAATATTATTACCTTTTAAAATAACTATTTATATTTATATATATATCAAGCGGCAACCTCCCGCTCTCTCTCGCGAAGCCAACAAGGAAGTGACTTAAACTGTAATTCATCAACTGGCCGCTAGAGGCTGGCTGAAAACTGCATAATTAAGGGCGTGGCCACTTGAGTGACAGGTGGATTGCCGCTGCTGTCACCACCGTCGAGCTAGGTGGCCGTGGCTTCACCAACCTGCTCCCGCCTCTTTGCCCATTTGCGATTATCCAGGAGTGACGCGCTGCCAAGATGGCGACGGCCGGTTCCGCCAACTTTTGAGCTTCAAAAACGCATATATATAT